CGGGATGGGAGTGAGGTTAAGGTGGGCGAGTGTAACGGAGGCCAGCTAGCAAAGTGCTATCAAGGTAAACCACACTCCTCTGACCTAAAAAGGTGATCTAGCGACAGACGCTAGAGGCCATGATCTTTAGCCTCCTTGTTAGAGCAACCGACTCCCATGCAAAGAATCGCCAGTTTGATCACAGCTCATACCGGGTTGGTTACAGTAGGACCAGTGGGTTACATTAACAAATACATTCACTCAATGAACATTATCGTAAAGTGTGACCGAATTGATCATTAACAGTAATACCTACAGTAATAATATAGACCACAGTAATAATATAGACCATTTTGAAGGATGTAAACAAAAACAATGGGCCTAACCTATTTTCTGATTTACATATTTAATTTCTATAGCTTCCGAGAATCCAAAAAGAGCCACATATTGAGAAATATTATTATGATAGCTGTTTTAACATCAATTTGTGATAGAATTGCGTCTTGTTGCACTTATTAAAACAGTTTGACAGCAAGCAGGAAATCTTCATGGGCCAATTGAAATGATCTATAGGTCACTGTTGTTACCACATTGACAAAAACTAATTCAATTAATTATTTTAAGCCTCGTGTTGTTTTATTTACACTTAAAACAAAAATATATAGTAAAGACATAAAATATTTATGTTGTGTTATTTGGAGTACTGATAATACTGAAGAAATGCTGATTCATCTTCTTATGCTACAATGGCCAATTTTACACTCCACCAAAAGAGGACGAACGAACACTCGAATCTGTGTCTGAACCAAGTTTGAGGGCATTGGTTAGTTCTTGTTTTTGCCGATTGAACATGTTCACTCTGTGTTTGTCGGATCGAGGAATGCCTGAGAATTATTGTACTGTAATCTGCTAATTGTCCATGGTGTGAATTAGCCTTAATACAGCATTTTGGCTGAAGCTACTGACCATTCTGAGCAGAAATAAAGTAAATGTGTTGGTCAACCATCTATATATTTTCTTTGTGTTGGTACTATGTTTGTTTTAGTCCTCATACAGGTTATTTATTTTGTAAATGAACTGGGGGAAATGTGGTCGGCACGATTAAGGGCTTTTTCCTGCTCGGAACTGCAGGGAATCTTTTATTTTATTTGTTTAAAGTTGATAATAAAATTCAATGTGTTTTTTCAGGATTTTTTCTTTGAGAGATGTGCACACTGAAGTATTACACGTTATGTGACCTCCATTTTACATGAATAGTTCTGCTTTCAGACTAAAGAGAGTTTGGGATTCGATTACACCGAATTTAAATAATTTGTAAAATGTATGGTGATTAAAATGCCAATAAAGATTGTTTCCCAGTTGGGTTGTTTTGTTAAAGTTCATGTTGGTTCAAGAGGTTTTATCAAAACATAAAGGATAAAAGCTTAGCCATTGTGGCGTAGGGCTGCAGTCCTATGATCACTTGTCATTGTAGCTTATATTGGGTTGTCAATGAGAAAGAAGAAGTGTAATATCTCATGTCAGCAGCTTCTGTTTTGACTTGATGAATAATGAATGGGCTTCTTAGTAAAGTTTAATGTTAACCAGATCCTATAGAGATAGGAACAACATTTTTGTATTACCCTTTTTGCCAAAGGGTAATCTCTGAGTTTAATGTGTCAATGAGAGATTAGGACTAGCTGACAAATGACTGTGAATCCAGGTTAAACGCGGTAAAAAATGTTGCTGATTGAGCAATAATGCCCCACCTGCTTCTGTCAACTATTTAAGCTGTCTTGAGTGAAATGTAGAGGTTTGACCTGGCATTCCCTCTGACTGATGCCTGAAAGCCACAAAAAATATTTATGTTTTTGCGAAAATTCATGTTTTTCTTTTAATAAAATGTAATATTCTTCATTTTTCTCGTTTTTTTTCTTTAACCTCTAATATTCAAAATCTGTATGGACTTGCTTGTTTGCAATTGCCGCAATTTGCAGTAATTTTCATTAGTCATTAAGTCTGTACAGGGAGATGTCGATTACACAAGTCAGAATGACTCTGCATAAAACATAACTTTTTCTTCCCGTGCTTTGGTGTCCTTTCACCTCTTGCAGTGGATTTGATTGTAAATTTATTTGGGGTTGTTCATTTCATATCTATTTTAATTGTCACATTATTGGTTAATAAGAAACCTTCTCTCTCTGATTTTTCAAAGACATTACCTGGATGCATGAATCAAGATAATATTTTGCAATGAGATCGTATATTTTACTGTTAAGTCACACCATAACTAACATAAAATGCATGAGCAATACTTTTAAATCATTTATAAATATTGTGTGGTTGGCTCAGTGGTTAGCACTGTCACCTCACAGTAAAAACGTCACTGGGTTAAGTCCCAGCTGAACCAGTTGTCATTTGTGTGTGGAGTTTGCATGTTCTCCCCGTGTTCACGCAGGTTTCATTGAGGTGATCCTGCTCTAGTTTGCCCCACGGTCCAAAAACATGTGCTATAGGTGAATTGAATAGGCTAAGTTGACCATATGTGAATGCAAGTGTGTATGACTGTTTCACAGTAGTGGATTGCGGCTGGAAGGGCAAAGGAACTAAGCTTGAATGAAAATGAAAAATTAATGAATGATGAATCTTGGGTATTTCTGCAAGGAATATACTTTTTTTGATGTAAAGTTAATTTACTATGAATTGTAACTACAATAATAAATTTTAAAGATGTAAAAATGTAGTTATAGTTGTATATTTACAACAACATACACTTAAAAATGGTTCATTGGATTTGCTAGTTTTTTTAAGGTAAGTGGTTGCAAACTATTTATATGGGCCGAATTTAAACAAACATTACATTTAGTAATGTTCAACTTAATTGTTTAAATTCAGCCCAAATAAATTGCAACCACTTACATTAAAAAAAAAATTGTAAATGCAATCAATCTTATTTTTGTTTGTGTGTACATTACTTAATGTAACTGCATTACTGTCACGTTTAGCTAGTTGCTTAGCTTGTGTGTTGGATTTTTATTAGTACTTATAAAGTACATATTAACATATACATGAATTAGCATTTTTGTAAACATTCAGGAATGCGCGCAGCGAGGTTGCAGAAAAAAAAATGGGAACGCTAGTATTTACAGCGAGGGAATGACATCTGATGCGGTTTGTTGTTGTCTTAGAGATAAGTTATATTGATTACATATTATATATATTATTTACATAATGCTTTCAGCGTATTATAACAGCTTGTCATCCAGTGATAAGCAGTTATTCAGCAAAATTAATGTTAAAGTGAGCGAGTTCATAAGACGGGTCCATTTGTGATTGCACCCTCCCAATGGATATTGGAATAGACTAAAGGGCCAAGCATCCAGTCCGAAATATACAATCTCACTGAAACTCCAAGTGTTTTTACTAGAGAGAAGTTAAAGGCCTACAAGTCTTTAGAAGCCAACAATGTTGTTGTGTGTGGTCATGTGCAAGAAATAATGTTCCATGATTACCAGATACAAAAGTATGTAGTGATGAAAACCAAGGTTCTGCCTAGCCAAAGATAACGAAAGAAGACGGAACTGTTCAAGGCCTGAGTAATCATCAACAAGCAGGACACATGCATTCTGACAGCAAACTGCACCTGCAAGGCAGGATATGTGAACACTCATTCTAAGCATTCAGTGTCCGCAGTTTAATTCACCATATTTAACAGTTTTTGCTGAAATCATTGCTGCAATCAAAAATGAGTAATGTGTATGATTCAGCATAGCGCCGTCAACTTACCTGATATTAAATGAGAACTGCAGAGTCCAGCATTTATATTTAGGTCCTCACTTCATTCAGCTCCCTTTTAGCCAAAGACGTCTGCGGTTGGCATTAAAAGCAGTGTGGTGTACGGTAAAAGTTTAAATTCGGCATTCTACCACACAACAAGACATGTTTGCTATTGCAACCAGTCTCTTTTTGCAACCGGGAACCCGTGTGAAGTTGTGTGCGACGTAGGTTGGTAATTCCTCTATATCAGCTACATTCTTCTGTTTACCTCACTTAGATCTATCCAAAAGATGCCCAAACAAGGGCCCACAAGCCAAAGCTGGCCCATTGTAACCTTTTTATTTGACCCCCCATCGCTTTGGACGAGAGGGGGAGTAATGGGGAGGGTTAAGAGGAATGCCTTTTCCAGACATCTTCCTTTCTAATGTAACATTACTTTTTATTTGTTTTATTGTTCAGATACAAAAACGCAAACTGAAATTAAATGTTAAATGAATCTTTTTTTTTAAATAAACATTCTCTCATTGACAGATAAAAGACGATGCAGAAGACGTGTATTGGGCATTGTATTACAAATGGAATTCATTCATTCATTCATTTTCTTGTCGGCTTAGTCCCTTTATTAAGCCATGGTCGCCACAGCGGAATGAACCGCCAACTTATCCAGCACATTTCTACGCAGTGGATTTCCTTCCAGCTGCAACCCATCTCTGGGAAACATTTACACACACACACACACTCATACACTACGGACAATTTAGCCAAACCAATTCACATGTACTGCATGTCTTTGGACTGTGGGGGAAACCGGAGCACCCGGAGGAAACCCACTCGAATGCACGGAGAACATGCAAACTCCACACAGAAACGCCAACTGACCCAGCCGAGGCTCGAACCTGCGACCTTCTTGCTGTGAGGCGACAGCACAAACTACTGCGCCACTGCGTCGCCTCCACAAATGAAATTGTTTATGTTTTTACTGTAATAAGCTTCTTATAATATGGAAAATGGCATAGCAGCACAGGAAGAAGGTCGCTGGTTCAAGTCCCGACTGAGCCAGTTAACATTTCTGTGTTCGTGTGGGTTTCCTTCTGGTGCTCCAGTTTCTCCCACAGTCCAAAGACGTGCTATTAGTGAATTGGGTAAACTAAACTGGCTGTAGTGAATGTGAGAGTGTATGGGTGTTTCCCAGTACTGGGTTGCAGCTGGAAGGGCATCCAATGTGTAAAACATATGTTGGATAAGTTGGCGGTTTATTCCGCTGTGGAGACCTGTGATGAATATAGGGACTTAGCTAAAGGAAAATGAATGAATGCATGAATGAATAAATGAATAAATGTATGAATGAATGAATAAAATGCTAAAAAAAAGATTCAATATTTTTTTTATATTCTGAAATTAAACTAAGAAATTACCAATGGCAACTTTATTTTTAATACAGTTTGGTATATTTACCTTCAGCCCACCGCCCTCAATCAGGTTTGCTTCTTGGTCCTTTATAAGAAAAGTTTGGGTTTGATCTATTCCATACTGAAACCTATCCTTTTCATCTACTTTACTAAGCACTAATATCCTTATGCAAGCCCTATATTTCAACAAACCAAAGTTTGCCTAACACTACAATTGCTTGTTTCCGTCCAGATTGCTGAAATAATGTTGCATAAGCATTTACATAATACCTGAGCTGCACCATGACAACTACACGAGACCTGTTGTATCACATTAGAGAGTTGCCATTCTTTTCGCACTTGAGCTGATGAAGCGATGCATTGTGATAACACAGACTTGGTTCTCTTTGTGAGTCCATGGTGACTCTTGGACAGACTAAAGAGAAATGCTTTCGGAAGCCTTTTGAAAAGGGCCCCTCATCCTGACTAACTGGAAGCTTGTTGAGTCATATGCTGACAAGCCAGCAAAATGTAAGAGACTACTGAGGTACAGCATGAAAATGCTCAAATTAAATATTTGGTCTACAACTAAATGCTTATTTTAAAAGCTAATAACTGACTCCTGACATTTTATCCTATCCATCATAATATGCTACCAACACTTTATTTGAATGATTCTGAGGTTGGGGTTAGGGATTAATTACACTGAAAAAAATGTTGTCTGCAAAATTGTTGCAAACAATTTCTGAGTAATTCTTCCACTACGGGCACTTTTATGTCCTTGTGATCATATATCCAAAAAAATATATATAATTTTATTCAAGTTCCTCTTTCTTTGTCAAACTAACAATAAAACCTACTTTTTAAAAAAATACTACCTTTCTATTATATTTTTTTTCATATAATTCAACCTCCTTTTAGGTGTCAAAATCCAAAAGTTCTAGTTTTAAAAGTTTCAAGTTTTAAAATTCAATAATGAAAATAACATTTTAAAATATTATTTATTTGGTATCTATTAATGTATCTTAATGAAGCGCTACTGAAATAATTTAAATATTTTATCGTTATTAATGTGAGAGTATTATCAATATTATATTTTAAACAATATATAGCTGTCGCACAGTATCAGTGTCATTTCCACCACAACTCCGTAATGTCGCTTTAAAATGTTTGTGTGAAAGATTATTTAGGTGGTTTCTATGAAAATGAATAGTGACATCTGGGAACATGTTTAAGATGGAGGGAATTTACATTTTCATCAACAACACTTGAAGAAAAATCAAGGTAAATATTGCTTGATAAGGAAATACATTTATTCTATGTCATTTCCAAACATGCTGTACCTTCAAAGATGTTTTTAAAAACCAAACAAAATTTAGCTATATAAGAGTGTTTGGATACATGAAAGGCTAGCATCAATTTAAAGCTAATCGGTGAAGCTATTTTTTATTATATTATTTTTCATTAATAACTATAAAATATTTACTCCACAATAAAATTTAGACTGTAGCAAAATTTGATGGGTAGCATATTGCGTCATCAAAATGTGCTACCTACTTTTTGAATGGGAGGTAGGACAATTCAACAATTAATTAATAAATATTTTAAAGTTAGGTAGTTGTAAACTATTTATTTGGGCTGAATTTTAATGTGGAGTAGAGATATGAAGCTGTATTATCGCCCAATACCTAACCCCAACCTCAGAACCATTAAAATACAGTGTTGGTAGCATAATCTGATGGGTAAGATAAAATGTCAGGACACCTGGTGTGGTAGTTTAGGGTTTTGTTTGTATGTGCGTGCATGCATATTTGCATGCAATGTATGTGTGCAAATGAATTTAGAGCTAATCAGGCTTGATAAATCTTGACCACAGGGTCACAATGTTAAGTAACAGCATGTTCTTAAAGTTCAGCAGTTTTGGTGGATATCCAAGAAACAAAAGAACCACGACTACCATAACTCAAAGCCCTTATCGCTGCCTCAAATGGTATTGAAAGTATGTTTTTAGACAAGGTTAAATGACCTTTTTTGATTTACTCAAACTTTGGGTATCACCCTTAGACATATGCACACAAATTTATGGCTCCAGTCCACAGGCAACATGTTTCCCATTTTTGAGTTTGTTATCTCATCAGTTTCTTTGTCAGACTTTGAAGCTGGTCTAAGCAGTCTACTTTTAAAAAAATGTTAATGGGAACCCAAATACACCCATGAGAAAATACCTCGAGTGAGGATTTCAGTGATTAGTTCCAACAATGGAAACTTTCTTTTACTTCTGAGGAGGGTGGGGGGGGGGTCAAAAAAAGCATCACAAAGGTTAACTATATTGCATCACTTGACCCAGTAAGCATGTCGCAAAGTCACGTACCTTCATAGTTTTAAAATATGTACCTAAAATATGAGGGTTAATTTAAATGTTAAATGTCTTACATATATAGTTTGACAATAAGCAAACTGAGGATGTACAAAGTTAAGTCTGAAGGAAATATTAATTAGAAATATGAGTCATGCAAAGTCAACAAACGGTGAATCTTATCCAACTAACTAAATCACCAAGTCATTATACTCCAACGACAATAATTATGGAGATTGATATAACGTTAAAGGAAATACACAAACCTTTAGCAGTTGTCATTGCTTTCAATCATGAGGTAAAATTCTGGAAAAAAACAATGAAAGATTCAATTCAGAGAGTAGAAAATCATTAGTAATTAATTAACACTTTTATTACAAAAGACAGTCGAACATAATTGTTAAGGTTGCCAAAAAAGGCAACAATTTTCGTTAAGGGCGATGCAACGTTGAACGGTTACGATGGCAGCGACACCGCTGAAGTCGCTGCGTTCTCTGATTGGCTGATATGCAGTGAGAGCAGGATTTAAGCCAATCAGCGATCAGATCATTGTCAGTGAGTGGAAAACTACAAGGCATCAAGACGCCGGTGCGTCACTCTAAGCCGGACCAATCATATTGTAAACGTCACATCTTTTCTCGATGATTGGCTCGTATGGGACACACTATGAAGGAAAAATTATAAAACCCATTAGCGCACGAGTACTGTCTGTGTGCTGAAGAGTGCCGTATCTCTCCTAGCAGCCACGCTTGAAGCACAGCGAGAGGAAACTGCGTATTTCACCTCTCGGTTTATATTATCTTCATCTCTTGTAAATTTAAGGCTTTGCTGTCTCTCGACTTATTCGGAGCATTTACATTACAGGTAGGTGGTTACATCAAGCCGTTATGGCTTTGCTTGCATCACGCCGGTTTGAGTTAACGTTAATACATTACAAAACTTGACATCATTGCAGGGGGGATATGATTAATGTACTCGACCTCTTCTTTTGGGTCATTTTAACTCATCTTTGTTCTTTTTCCTTAAATTTGGTGTTGCGTCGTAATATGTCCGTCGGATATGGAAATTGTCTCGTAGGCATGTCTGGACAGTGGACACTTACGTGAACGCGCACGCATGTAATGCGCGCATCTGGGTTAACGTACACCCATTAAGTTAGTTACCGGCTTTCGTGTGTAACTTGGCTTTAATCTTCAGTAAATACAATCCCGTTAACCTACAGTCTGGCATGTCCGATTTGGCTGTTCGCGCATCATGGGGGCGGAGAGATTCAGCAGACAATGCGTCTGAGAAACGCGTGTCGCCTTTTCTGGAAACCTCTGTCTAACGTCAGCTCATTTTGCACAAATCCGAGAGAAAATATAGCCTTAAATAGTGTTTCTTTTATGTTCAGCAAGTTGAAACTGAGGTCACATTACGCTTTGGTTTGCAAGTAACGTTACGTGGTATGGCTGTCATTCTGACATCTTGTTTCTTAAGCATCTGAAAGTATATGATCGCAGATGAGTAAATTTATGACTATGATTTAATTTGGGATGAGCTGCTGCGTCTTTAATTTTGGGGGCGTGTGAACGCGCATGATTTAACACCTTGAATGGACTTCAGATGTGACGTGCACGCGGCTCGCTGTCACTGTGATACTTGTCTGTCACTTGCTAGCTTTTTGCAGATAAACGAGAAAAAACTTAACTGTTACAACTGACAAATTCAATAAGAGATCAAATTGGCTTATATTTTAAACTTTATAAAGCACAACATAGTAACTTGGGAGCCATAAAATTACGAAACACTGCACGTTTATACGTTATACGCGTTTAATGTGAATGCATTGTGTGCATTAACCTTTTATGACTTGCACATAAACATTTTTATCAGCCGCAACCTCATAAACTGACCTGAATTCAGAAAGCGTCCTGCACGTAGACACAGACCCACACGCCCCCCTGGACTTCGTTCAAGTTCACAGAAACGTTTCTAAAATGCGTCTACGTTCATTACAAATGTATATTAAAGTGAAAACGACGAACAATTTCCATATCAAGTGTGTTTGACTGACTTTTGATATTAAATAAAGCTCTGCTTTTTCGTTTAGCCGTTTAGTTTCTATTCAGAGTGATTCAGCTGTTTCGACCGTGGCGCGAACTCCTTTAATGGCGCTGTCACTTTAAGATATTCTGTCCAGTCATGGTTACCGTAACGCTGAACTTCTCCTGTTATGTAATTGCACTTGAGTTGATTCATAAGGAGTATTGGCTGAAGCTTATAGTCCGTCTTACTGTAATTCAGATTATATAGAGTGATGTAATATAAAAGGGGACCGTGTTAGCTGGTCGTTATTATCATGGAAGTGAGGGAGTGGTGGTGTGTATCTTGGGAGGGGGTTTTATGGTTTAGTTGATAACGTTTTCAACTCGACATTTGTTCTTTTTTATATAACAGGTTAGCCACTATGGAGCTGTACAATAAAGACACCTTTTCTGACGATATCCTGCCTGTTGTCATTGTTGGTAAGAGTTGCCATTTCAATGTTTCTTTTATGCTTTGTGAAGTTTGTGTGTACTTTGTCTGACACATGACACTACCTCTTCCATCAACACTTACAGCCGATAATGTGCTTCCTACATGCATAATGCATGCAAAATAACTCCTCTTGGACTGTTGTTTCTCTCTGTACTGTTTAAATGTTGTACTGCAACCAAGGACTACAATTAACTAATAATTAACAGGATAATTGTGTTAGGCATTAGCTGATAAGATTCTGATAGCATGATAGCATTGGATAAAAATGTAACTGTTTCACAGTATCGCAAAATTTTTTTTTTTTTTTTTGACTACTCCTCTAAATTATCATCATTTTTTAAATGTATGGGTAAAAAAACATTTTTTTCCCTGTTGAACACGATATATTTTATTTTAAGCAACATTTAACTGGGGTCCGCAGGCTCTTAGTCTTAATGTTTTAAATTTTAGGCCTTAAAGTCTTAATTTCTCTTTGTCTCTAATGCTAACCAATCGGGCTGACACCCAATCACCAAAAATCTCAATAATGATCTTGAAACTTGTGTATGTGTTGAAGTCACAACAGCTGTTAGACATTTTTACAGCAAATTCTCCAAATTAAATTCCCTAATCAGGGAAAGAAAACTGAAGCAACAAATCCCTTTACATGATCTTCTATTAATACAGAAACAATTTCTAGAAGTAACTGGGCCATCAGAAAAGTCCTTCGTGTTTAGCTTGTAAAAGCCTTAACCTTCGTTCATAATTGTCTTAAAGTCTTTAATTTGATTTAAAGAAACCTGTTGGAACCCTGATTTAAAAATGTTGGAACATAAACGTGTCCGACTAAATGATTAAAATAAATCACATGCTTCTGCTGTCTTCATTACTTTCAAAAACATTCCTTTACAACTTGTAAAGGCATCTTTGCATATCATTTATTTATTTATTTATTTTTTATATATAAAGTAAGCCACTGCCCACCAAGCAATTTTGTGTTTAGACATCTAATAGACATCTAATTGTAGGTGGCTAAATTTGGGCAGTCAGTGAATCTAATAGATCTCTAAGAATACACCAAAACTAGACTAGTCATCAAATACAGATAGACAGACTTGACATTCGTAGTTCGTTTGTTTTGTATTTGATGACTAGTTTTGGGCTTTCTTCGATGTCTATTAGATATTCACTGACAGCTAAAATTTATCCTTGTTTTAACAAAGCCGTCCATGTTTAGACCTATAAGACTTTTTCTTTTTTTTAAAAACAAAAATGCTTGCTGGGTGCACTGTTAAGGTCTATAGTAGGCTTGGATGTTGGTTCCAAAACTAAATAATATAGTCGTAAAAGTGCATATAAAAACCTTACATGTATTGTAGGAATGGTATAACAGAAAATGATTGCAGTTGTACCCTTGACTTTTCCAAACTGTGGTAAACCTTGAAACCGGTTATCATCCCTTGCCTAAATTGCACACAGTTGCTGCAAAATTAACCCACAATTAAACCAACATGTTAAAAAGCAATACCTACAAGAAATAAAAACTCAATAGTACCAAAAACAAAAGAATATCTGTGACTGCTTGGAAGATGTTATCGATTGCTTCTAGTATTCATATGCATGACTGTGTTTTGAACAGGTAATGGACCATCCGGGATTTGTCTTTCTTATTTGTTGTCGGGATACACCCCTTACCTTTCCCCCGATGGTTTCCATCCCAACCAGATTTTGCATGACAAACTGACAAAGAACCCTCATCTGTCTTTGTTTGACCAGGTAAGGCATACACATAATCCCCCTGCACACATTCACCACACCTCTTTACATAACAAATTGTGACTAATGTATCACCTTTTACCAAAAGCCTTTATCGACAGTTCTAAGGATTTCTCTATATCGTCAATAGCCAGATTTTCATCAACCTATTAATATGTGCATTTTGAAATATTGCAAAGAAGAAAAAGATTAATGAAAATGCCAAGATGTGCATAAAAGCAAAGGGACTATCTTTAACATTTTTGGGTTTTCTCAGCAGCGGAAGTCGTCATAGTTGTGCGCAGTCAATAGGAGTGGACAATAAATAGTTTTTATTCCTCTTTTCTCAAATAATAAAAGGAAAAACTTACAATATTGTTAAGATTTTTCCGAAAATAGAAACAAATTGTGTGAGACTAATGGCAGGCAGAAGAGAGAACAGGTTAGGGTTCTCACGATACTGGAATTCGATACCAATCGATACTGAAATTTTAAAAACATACATTTCCAGCTAACATTTGAACGCTGTTGAGTGCGTTCTTAAACAGCGATGATTTGCCATTGTGTTCATGTGCTCAACAGAAATTACTGTTTGGCCGTAAATGTCATCAGTACACCAAACTCACCGATAATCACATTTAATGACTCCGATTGCTGCTCGCCAATCTGGCCGATCTTATAAACCGATTACAGGTGTTTGTTTAGGAATTTGCATGCAGAGGAAGACGCACATGCACTCCCTTATATTATACATAGCCTAAAGCAGCCACAACATGTGAAGAGGTAAATGATGATGTGTGGAGGCGTTATCGATCCATTCGCTCCCATCACAACCGCTAAAATATATACAAATGCAGTGTGACCTCCGTTTATACAGTCTATTGCACGGGTGGCCAACCCTTTTCCTGAAGAGCCACCTTCCTGCAGATTTCAGTTGCAACCCATATCAAACACACCTGCCTGTAATTATCACGTGGTGTTCAGGTCCTAATTAATTGGTTCAGGTGTGTTTGATATGGGTAGCAACTCAAATCTGCAGGAAGGTGGCTCTCCAAGAACAGGGTTGGCCACCCCTGGTCTATTGGACCCACAGTGGCTTCTTCTACTGCAGCAAATTCCACTTTTCTTTTTAACACTTGGCACCAGTTTATCAGGAATTGACAATTTTGTTTCCTTTGACTCACTGGAGTCAAACATTCCAGTTTTGTGCGTCAAGTCTAATTTGCATATACGCATGGTAACTGCACAATAGTAGCAGAATCTAAGAGGTGCACAGAAATGTTCAAACACAGGAAAACAGTTTTGTCGTCTTGTGTGCATTTAGGATCTGGAGTACTTGTGTGAGGGTGTAGAGGGCCGCTCATCCAACCCTGTGGCTGTGCTCTTCGATGCCCTCCTCCTTCCAGATGGTGACTTTGGGGTGGATTGTGCTTCCCCACTGATATGGAGACATGAGCCGGAAAGGGCCACACCGCACCTCGTACTTGGAAAAGGACCACCTGGAGGGGCCTGGCATGTAAGTGACCACTCCTAAAATACTTCTATCTCCTGATTTTAAATCCCTATAGTAGTCATGTTGTTCTCATTCTTGTGCAAATATGTTCTTGTTCATATACAAAAATGCATCAAAAGTAATAGGATAACAGTACTATGCCTGGTTTAGGGCCTTTAACCGTTTATTGGGTTGAAATACTAATTTTAAAAATCCTGTAATGTTACTGGGTGTTATTTGAAGACTTTTCTTCTATGACTCTATTGTAATTGATGTTAATTAATTGACCATATATGGTTCTTAGACCACTAAAGTGTTTTAATCTTAATTAATATTAATAATTTTAATGTAATGTATTTTTATTTGCATAATAATTAGTAAAATAATATTACTTTAATGAGTTTAGCATATTTGTTTCAAAATTGTATTGTTATACTAATGAAGAATGATGAGTAAGCTTTCTTTTTATTTATTGGTATCGTATAATTAGAATATCACTTTATTACATAATGAGAAACCCCATTCAGAGTGACGGAACTACCTAAAAATCAGAAGTACAATGGTCAGATATATTACAAAATATGTCTTGAATGTTCAACAGTGTCATAAGGGTCTAATGTAAAAGTAGTAGCCCCGAGGGAACAAGCACTCGTGATTTAATATTTGCGTGTCTTCGAACAACTGCAACAACGTCTTCTATTGAGGTTTTTTGTAGCAGTTTAATCAGATGTTTCTCTTGTGCTTCCCGCTTGATTCAGAATGTAAATGTGTTGCTTTTTATGCTTGATGCCTGCAGGCGATGGAAGGCTCAATGTTGACTCTCAGTCTGGCTAACTGGATGGAGCTTCCTGGTTTGAAGCTGAAAGACTGGATGAGAGATAAACGAAGGTATGAAAAATGAAACTGAAATTTAAATTATTTGGGTAACAATAGGCTCACATTTCTCTGATTCATGTCCATTGAGGTAGTTCTCAGATAAACATTTAAACATTTGCATATAGCAGCTTCAGTAGTTTATTTTTTACTAATAGTATAAATAGCCAATAATTGTTTATTTCTCTTGTGGCTTTTAACCCTGACTTATTTGTTCAAGCAACTTAAACCTATTATTAATGCAGGTGGTGTATTTTTTAGGCTAAATGAGGCATATTATGTTTAACCCATTTATTGAAGTTACAAATGTCCAAAATGATCAAAGATATCATCCAATCAGGTTTCCCACAGGTCTTTACTAGATTTATTCCAATCACTGGCAAGTGAGGGTCAGGGAATTTTTTGTTTATTTTTTTTGTCCAGGTCATGTAATGCCATGAATTTTGTTATTTATCTTAATGTACTTTTTATTATTTCATATATTTTTTATAATAAATGTTTATTATTATTATTATTATTATTATTCAAATTCAAGAGTTCACACTTAGCTATTGCTTGATGATATAATAATTGCATTTACTGACAGAGCTTCCGCCTGGTCTCTGAGCATGTGAGGGGGTAAGAGATCAGGTAGTTCTCAAGAGCTCCCCCTGGTAAAGGAGGAAATGGGGGCAGTTGGGTGGATGGGATGGGGGAGGGGATACTTAAAAAAAAAAAGTGACGGGAGTAAGGCTAGGCGGTCTACTTTATAGTTAGTTTGGAATAATCCGATTGGTTTATTAATGATTACAGATGAAAGACCAGCTGCGATCAGTCATACCACGTGCTCCTCTTCAAATGTTTGTTTAACTTCTTATCATTTATTTATTTATTTTATTTTACACACGAGTAGCCTTATTAGTGGACATAAATGGTCACCGAGTGAATAAAGAAAATATTATTAACCATTATTTAGTCACGTATTTAAAGTCTTAGATCAGTGTTAAAGAATTATTTACTGCATCAATTAATGCTGTAATCTAATTGATAAGATTAACAAGCCTCTTGAATTAAGACGGTTCAATCAAATATCTAGTCCAGATTTGTTTTGGGCTTTAGCACCATGTCTTTAACTGATGTGACGTGACCACACACGATTTAAATATTGATTTAGTCTGCTAGGGCTGTGCAATTTTGAAGAAAATATCTAATTGTGAATAATAAAAAAAATAATAATATAACCGCTATTGCGGAGAAAAAAAATTAAATTCTCCCCGTCAAGCTTCAGCTTAATATTCTGTTTCGTAGCTCTTTACTGCTAAAATGCAGTGAGTGTTAGTTAAAAATTAGCTGAAAAGACATCAACTAATGATTTTATTTAAATGTTCATAAATATTCAGAAATTAAACTATTTTTTTCTCTAGAGCAAACAATAGTGAGTTATGGCGTTATCTCCTGGTGCCTTCGTGATGTGTTTTTTTTTTTTTTTTTTTTTTTTTGTCATATGGTGAACCATACAACTGCAAACAACTCTGAAATTGTACTTTGCTGTTGCTAGCTACTTGATTGTCACCGGCAATACTTCGTTAACTTTTTAGCAAGACACTCCTCATATAGCCACCTGTGGTGCTTTTTTTTTTTTATAATGTGCTGGTTGTTATATTTTCTCATGTTGTGGCAACAAATCTGCAACTACTCTTACAAATGACCTGTTTTTGTGACTTTGAAACCAAAATGTTCCCATATTACCAATGTGCTTTTTTTTTAATTTATTTATTTTTTTTTTTTTTAATAATTTTTTTAATATTAATTCATCTATTAATGCTTCTGAAGCGGCAGACGCTGAAGCGCTTTCCTGTTTGTTTGTTGGTTGTTGTTTTTTTTTTAAATGTGGCTATTCCGCATAGTTTGGTTGCCCAATTCTGATTGGGCAGAACGAAAGTGTGCTCACTCAATTGGCTAGTAAGACGGTCACAAACAGATGGCAGTCAACCATTTACTCTGGGTGGGGGAAATTTATATAACGCATATGTATTTCATATTGCAGCCTCTTGTTTTTTTTTTTTTTTTTTTTTTTTTTTTTTTTTTTTTTTTTACTAATTGCAACGTTTCAAATCGCAATCGTGATTCAATTTCGAATAATTGCACAGCCCTATTGTCTGCTCAGTGCTCCTGTCTTTGAGACTCAGCTTTTTACAGTAAGAACCGTGTCTAATATGCATTTGTTTGTTTGTTTGTGTGTAGGAATTTACGTAATGACCGGGCTACTCCTGCTGAGATTGCCTCATACTACCAGCACTACGTGACAAAAATGGGTCTGGAGAAGAGTTTCGCTTGTGGCACCACTGTAACCTCAGTTTCTCGAGTTTCCCTTAAATCCGGTCGCTCCATATGGAAGATCCAAGGCCTCCAGAGAAGAGCAAATGTTAATGAAGAACATGAAGTCCCTTTCTCTGTGTATGCCGAGAACGTGGTGCTTGCAACAGGAACGCATGACATTCCAGCTCGCCTTGGCGTAGATGGTGAAAACCTTCCCTATGTGTGCCACAGCTTCTGGGAGCTGGAGGCTGCCATCTCTTCAGGCCGCTTGGACCGTGCTTCAGAGCCGGTTCTTATTGTCGGCGCTGGGTTAACGGCAGCAGATGCTGTTCTCGCAGCTCACCACTTAAACACACCGGTTTACCATGCCTTCCGGCGGCCGGTAAGCGATCCAGCGCTCATCTTCAACCAGCTACCCAAACTCCTCTACCCAGAGTACCACAAAGTGCATCAAATGATGAGCCAACAGCAACACAAAGTTGGAGAGACTGTGGAAAATCTGTCCAACCAACTGCTCTCGTCGCCTGCAGACGGCACCAGTTCTTACACCTGCTACCCAGGTTACCTCAGTTTCCCAAAGCACCGTGTGGCAGCATTCAAACCTGATGGCAAGTGTGTGCTGGAGGGCGAAGGAGGGCTGCAGACGGTGCTCCAAGTCTCAATGGCACTCGTTTTGATTGGTGCCCATCCAAACCTGTCTTTCCTTCCAGAACACGGTCGCGATTTGGCGTTGGACTCGGAAGAGCCAATCAGCTGTCGGCGGAATCCGATGGATGTAGATCCGTACACTTATGAGAGCATAAAGGAGGCAGGGTTGTATGCCATGGGTCCATTAGTGGGTGAAAACTTTGTGCGCTTCTTGAAAGGTGGAGCTTTGGCCATTGCTTGTGACATTGCGCGGAAGCAGAGTGCAAAACGACAAAGTGCGACAGAGAACTGCATCACCAGCTTGATGAACATTCAGCTCACCAACTGCACCTTGGAAGCGTGAAAAGATTTTAATTATTCTTTGTGGGACTTCCAAAGTCCACAAACTGACTTCTAAATGCGATTCTGCACCAATGAATGGTTAAACCAATCAGCAATGGGCTGAGACTGTTCCGACATCCCTCTGAAAGTGCTTGCATGCAGACTTCACATGCACTGACACAGATTTGCACTGTTAATGGCTTACTAGCCCACTTGTATCCATTAATCTGTGACTACGGACACAGGATGCTTTAACACTTCAGGGATTTAACACTACATGGCTGCTCATTCAAAACACTACTCGTGTCCTTACGGCAATCGTGTTATGTGGTGCCAAATTACCATTTGTCATTCGCTGTGTTTTTAGATGCATCTTTTTTCATGCAAGGTAAAAACACCGCTCATCTTTGCCAAGCAAATGCTGCTGTTGTATCAATGTTGGTACTAACACACTTACTGACTTCTACTTCAATGAATGTAGAAATCCTAGTGGACCTTTTAAACTTTCTGCTTTCCATACAATGCCTTTCAGTTAATCTTACAACGATAGTAAATCTATTAGTTCTACTAGAAAATTGGATTTGAGAGAATTGGGAATCTAAAAACATTGCAACTCATTTTATGATTTGTGTAGAATTAGAAAAGTATGTAGATTAATTTAAAATGAACAAATAATATTTTATGCTACTGTTGCTAATACAAAGCTAAACCTCAGTGAGGCCAGGCTGCACTTCCAAAACTGACCACGAGAGGGCCTTTGCACGCAGTGAATGAACCCGGCAGCATTGCATAAAATATATCCTTCATGGCATTATTTGAATGAATTCATCCTACATAAGCTTATTAACGATGGGGTTATTATCTGGCATGGGCCAAATGTAACACTGCCTATGAGATTGAGGCCTCAAGGAACCTCATAAATTGACAACTTTTAAAAAATGTTGGAAAAATTTTCAATCATATCAGAAGCATGTCTGGCTTCTTTATAAAAGTGATTCGAGATTAAGCTTTGACTAATTACACTATTATTTGCCTACAAGTTATGCTCACTGGCAGCTCTGATTAAACATCGTAGTGAAAGGGTTTGTACCTTTTTGTTTTGTTTTTTTCGTTTTTGGAAAGCAAAAATGTAATGTACAGTTTGTCTACACCATTTTAATCAAACTCTATTTAAAGAAGAAAATAATAAAAACATGAAAGTATTTTGGTGTATTTTGTGTCTATTTAAACTGCACAGTAAAATAAGCAGCTGTGAATAATACAGCTCATACAAATGGGGTGAGTGACATTATATATTCATTATTATTACACACACACACATATATATATATATATATATATATATATATATATATATATATATATATATATATATTTTTATATTATTTTTATATTATATATATTATTTATATATATATACACACACAGATATAATTACACAGACACACACACACAGTTGTAGTCATAATTATTAGCCCTGTTTATTTTTTCTCCCCAATTTCTGTTTGATCCATTGTAATACATGTAAGAATTTCCTGCACATATTGTCAATGTGTCCTACAGGATTTTATCATTGCTGCAGGACAGCAGCCATCCTGCAGGCATTATAACTGATCATCTGACATCCATAGTAGAGGAGAAAAGGTTAACGGAAGTTCCAAGTTACTTTAATCAAAATATTTGCTTTTGTTTAACAGAAGAGGAAATCCTACAAGGTTTGAATAGGTAAGGTTAGGTGAACTATCACTTTAAGAGACAGAAAAAATGTGCACGCACAAATGTGTGTGTGAATGATTACACACCGCCATTCATGAATGGTCTCACTCAGAGGCCTTGTGAAAATGTCGAACTCGTTGGAAATATTAGATTTTTGCCATTCGTTCATAACTGTTTTGAGTTCGGACATAATTTGTCAATTGTGATTAATAGGCCTATATGGAAGAGTGATGATGTATAACGTCGCAAGTCTTCTGTACCCAATAACGAACTATCGAACTTTCACCTTTAGATGGCAGCAAAGACCAACTACAGCTAATTGGCTTTTGCACTATTAATAGTCATAAACCCTCTCCTAAAAATTCACTGATACTTGGGAAATTATATAAACTTTTATATAGATATGAACTGATATTAACTTTTAATTAAAAATACAATTAGGTGCACAGAAAGGACCAAGATGTCTAATCTGAAAGAGGTGGTTCTTTCCTTCTCAAAAAGTGGACCTTGTTGCACTTGTACACCTCAGATTCTATTTAACTTTGAGATTTTAATACTGCATTTCAGAAATTTTTATTTTATTTATTTTATTTTTATTATTATTTTTAATTTTATTATTTTATTATTATATTTTTTTTTTGCTGGATTAACTAGTCAGATGTCATCACACTTTTAGATGTACTAAAATATTTCCTAAAGTATTACAAAAAAAAAAATAAAATTTAAAACAGGATTAATTTTTAAAATAAAATGTTATTACATAATATACCATTAGGAGTAAATAGCAATCTGTTAAAGTTTTAAAGTAAAAAAAAAAAAAAAAAACTGTATCATTTATTAGACAAAAAAACAAACTGGCAAGCACATTCAACTGTTCTCAGTCACAATTTGGCCATTTCAACAATAAAAATATAATAATTAAAACATAATAATAATAAAACAATAATAATTAATTCTTCACCAAAGCAACAGCCGACAGAGGATCCGTTTGGTCTTAAAGCCATTTTCGGTGGATTATTTTCATTATTTATGATGGCTTAGCAGTCAAAATAGGACAAATGAACTCATGTATGGGACAAATTCTGGAGCTTTGTCAGTGTGGGGTGGGTCTTCTGAACCCCTCCTGGCTACAGGCCTGAAAAGTTAGAACATGTTTTTACATGGCTGTAAAAGCGCACCTACAGGTGTTTCAGGCCAGGTCAGATTTTCTCTAGATCATCATTTATTTTGTTTATATGAATTTTGTCTTAAAAATGATTTTACCTGTCCAGTTTCATCTGGACCTTCTGAAGTTTGAGCGATCTGATATCTGATCAGAATAAAACGAATGAAGTGAGCGAACAGCCTCATAAGCACAGACATGATGAGAATATATTAATATAAATATATGTATATTAATTATATATCAAATATATTAAATAATATTAAATTACATAAAATAATTAAAAGGACAAATGCTGGACCTTTTGGCCGTGGGGGTGGTTAGTCGCAAGTAACATGCTATTAGGTTATGTGACCGCTAGATGGCGTTCTTGGATAATAAGAAGCTTACCACAACTAGCAGTTTGTTTAGCTCACTTTCTGTTCAAATGTCCCGCATCTAAATTATATTTATCTGTCTCCGTGATCTACTGCATCCCAGAATATTACACAGCACCAAAAATATATATTTAAAATATATATTTAATATATTTTATATGTTTGTGTCCACAGCCGACCGCGACTCGCCATTACGGAAATTCCTGAGCCTGTGTGCTCCAATCATAGTGCTCCAATGAGGTGCGCTCTCTTCATCGCTCACCATGACAACGAGACTCAGCAGTGACGTCGCCATGTAAACATTTGCATCTGCATTCCTATAAAGATCGTCGGTTCTCTCTCAGTGTTGTCAGTTCGCTCGGTGTTGGTTTGTACTTGACCAAGGTGAGTTCAATAGCGACGGTACGAGTGGAGCCACGCCAATCTCACGAAGTCCGCTTCGTGAAGCTTCACTCGGGATGTCTTTGCTTTAGTTCCTTGCGGTTTGCGTACATAAACGCAATATCGCAAGAATATTACGTTTGTTGCTCGAAATGTGCCGCCGAGCAACATTCCAGTGAACTCTGGCACGGACTGGCGCCCGGTTAACTCGTGCACTCACTTGGGCGAGGGGGCTCGTGAACCCTAGGGAGGGATCAATACAAGCCCTGAGGTACCTCAGGGAAACACAGGAGGCCGGTAGTGGGACCCCGCTGCCAGGGTTATAGTGGGTGGGAGCAGCGAGGCCCACTCATCGTCTATTTTAAACTAGTTTCAAACTTTAGTTTACTATAGTTTAAAATAGAAACTATAGTAACTGTGATGTTTTAACTCTATGTCTGGCTGTTGTAATGTTTTGCTTTGTTTTTCAGCAGAGTAGTTGAGCAAAGAAGGACTATTGAAGACAACCGTTGAAGACAACCGTGGGTTATATTCATGAGCGCTTACATTATAATGTTTCCGTGCTGTTTTCTGAAAGTTTTTCTTGTTTAGATAAGTTTGCAGGTCAAACAAAATAAACTATACTCTTTCTAAACACCTGTCTCGTGTTTTATTTGTCCTCCACAGCAATACACTGTCATATAAGTCTGTTGAATGCATTTGTATGCAACATGGTTTGACAATTAAGTAATCTAACAAATGAATAGTTTTTATAATTGTACCTTCATTAGTCAACATTTGGTGTAATTAATAAAAAGTTAATCAAAGATGTCCTAAGACATAATGGTAATGTTATGGTTGTTACACAAATGTATTTTTTATTATTCTGTATGTTTAAAACCTGCAGAATATACTATAGCATGTCATGAACTTACTGTTATTCAAGAATCTGCCTAATAAAAATGTGTCTAAGACAAGAATGAGTTTTAATTTGGTTTATGTCAAACTACTGTTTTAGGTTGACTACAACAGATAGGCTATCTATATCATAATATCCAAAATCAAGTAAAATGTCTCTTACTCAGGTACTTTAAGCATGCAAAAGTCAAATTTAAGTATAGAAAATACAGTTTCCAACAACAAAATTTTGTCCTGTGAAAATGACCAGTGGGGTGGTGAGAAAAAAAGTTAATGTCAAGTTATATTTATATATAAAAGAAGTTGAACAAGTTGTCATAATATTTAGTCATAATGCATTTTTTTATACATTTCCATTAGACTTTTTTTCTAAATCTATAATTGGTGAATTGCTCACAGGTCAATCTGGACTTTGTCTAATGAAGGTGAGGTGCATCTGAAAGGAGATTGTGTCCTATGTTTACATTTCTACTTTTGTTTTGTTTTATTCTTTGTCCTATGCAATGCTGTCTTTTCCTTTCTGTATCACGATGACTTGATCTGTCAACAAATCACAGTACAAACAGGAAAATAAATAAATTAGCCATAGCTCACATCAGAAC